GGTCGAGCGTGACCATAAAGAGGTCGTATGGCCGCTTGTCTTTAGAGAAAAGACAGTTCACTGAGTGTACCGGGAGGCCTTGAGACTTGAGGTCCTCCATGATAAGTTCATTGCTTAGCTCCTTTGGGAGCCCGCGGATGACTACTCGTAGGACGCGTTCCTCGGGTAGAGAATAGGTGTGGAAGCCAATGTTGGCTTGCCGGAGATAAGCGGTTAGTTTCCTATGTTCGGACGAGTCCGCTACTGTGATCTTGACACCGGTCCCGGTTTTCGACGCCTGGACGTATGAGATGCGCTTGTTGTTAAGCGCACGCGATAGATCATTCCAGGACTTAAGGTCCTGGACATAAACGGGTGGCGGAGGGCCTGTTTTTAATTGGTGCGGTTGCGCGTGTGCCGGTGAAGCCGGTCGCGGAGTGCCCGTGTTTGCTTTAATAGCCTTAGGTGGCGGGTTTGAGGCGTCATCAGAAGACTCGGAGTCGGAGGAACGGGAGCTGGCCTTGCGGGACCTTTTCCCTTTCCTACCGACTACGGTGAATTCGCCATTAGTGGCGCTGTCGTCTACGACTTCCATGACTTCGGGCGACGAGGGACTCTCCTCGTGGAATAGCGGGACATTGGCGGTGGCGGGTGAAGCAGTGGAAGGAGCGGCGATGAATGTTTTGTTTGTTGGAGAAACGGGTGCTAGTGACTTAAAGCCGAACTTTTTGGTGAGTGTTAAGTAAGCCTCCGGGCAGGATTGCGCTAGCCAGCGCATTCCCGCCTCGGTGTCCCCGCCCATGGCAGCGTGCATTGCCATAGGGCAGGGCAGAACACAGAGCGGTAAAGTTAAAATAAGTAATGAAAAACACAGTAAAATTAAAGTAAACTAAAACTATGAATAGTTTTTGGGAAGGGAGAGGGCTACAGCCCTCCCTGCCAAGAGGACAGGGAGGCGTGAGTAAGGTAACCTACTTGGTTGCCAAAGTGGCCGAATGTAATCCTACAGCGAAGGGATTCACTGTAGGGTGTGTGTTTATCGAAAAGAATTACCTTGTGAGTAAAGTCCAAACACTGTAATCCAGTAGGGCACTGAAATCCAGTAAGTACGGCCGATAGTCCGGGACCGTAACACTACACTTTCACAACACAAGGCACAACACTTGACTTATTTAAGAGTCCAGAGTCCTCTCTAGTAATCACTCGCGGGACGCGAACGCGAACGCGGGCGCGGGCGGACGCGCAGCTAAGGCGACGCGAGCGTGCGCGGGCACGCAATAACTATTAGAGCGACGCGGGCCCGCACGGGCGCGCGGTTTGCCCTATATACGAGCGCGCGAGGGCGCGCTATGTGGCGGCGGAGTGGACGCGCACAGGGCGCGAGTGGGCCGGCGATGTTGGAGCGGCCAGCGGCAGGTTGGTGATGCCGATGTCGATGTTGGTGTTGATGTGACGTGGCGACGTGCCGTGATGTGCGAGCTGCGTAGCAGGTACGCGTGTTGAAAGATGTTCTTGATGTTGGTGAGAAGGCAGGATGCTGAAGACGTGCGATGCGCGTGGAAGTCTGGAGCAGAATCGATCCGATGGATGATGGATCGGATCGTGATGGATCTTAATAATGTCTAACTTAGCTACTAAACTTAATGTAAACTTAATGTCTAACTTAGCTACTAATGACGCGCGGCGGCCGGCCAATCACAGCGCGTTTTACGCCCGCGCGCCGGGTGGGGGAATTGCCCCCACCGTGCGGGCGGCGGCGGCGCCCTACGCAGCCAATGGGCTCCTCGATAAATCTACAAATGTAGGTGCTGTGATTGGTCGTTCGATCTGTTCATTTTCGCGGCACGTGGCTGTCGTCAACAGTCTGTTTTGAACAGAGTTGTAATAATTGATAGCGCGTCTGATCAACATTTGAAAGCACGTAACTTAAAAAGGTGTGAAAATTTTAATTTTCAAGATTTTCTTTTATATCATTTTCAAATAAATATATTTTTGTCGCATCTATTTCGTAAAAACGAAATTTACGTACCCCTAGTCATTAGACAGTGCTGGTTTGAAAGAGCATAATTGATATATTCTTACAATGAACCAAAATTAAACCATTTTTTTAGTTTTTTATTTTGTCATATTTTGTATCCTTATTATTATGTATATGATTTCGAGTTTCGAATATTAAATCGACACTATCTATATATTTACGTAATAATTCTGATATCGGTATTTCTAAATTATCGCTAGGTTTCCGCAGTATTTCTGATGTTATGGACGTCCTTCGATCAGAATTACTTTGAGAACTCTTGCTTTTCCTACTCTCTAATTCCACATTACAATTTTCCTCACTAAACATTTTCTTTAATTCGTCTGAAGTTACTACAATTCTACTTGAAACTGTCTGCTATTTCGTTTGTCGATCCTTTTATAAGTTTAAACAATATTGTAGTCAAATTCTTCTGTTAAAATTTTATTTTGATTTATTGCTATCAAATTGTACCCTATTTAAAGGCAATTAAATATCTATTCTATTCTTACTGTAATCTAAATTTTAATAATCTGCTTTCTGGCTCTTTACTTTAAATAAACTTATTAGTGGTCTATGGTCTGTTTGGATTTGAAATTTTTTTCCTATTAAATAAGGTTTTAATAATTTTACATCCCATACTATATTCAATAATTCTTTATGAATTGTAGGATAATTTAGTTCTGTTTTGTTTAATGGTCGACTTGTGTAAGCTATTGGTTTCATATTTTAATTCATAAGAATGCTACCTATCGCAACTTGACTTGCGTTTGTTTGAAAAATTCAAGATATTCGAGAACTGGTGGTTGAGTAATTTTTTGTTTTAATAGAAAGCATCTTGAAATTCTTTTGACCAATTAAAAGTTACATATTTTCTGCATAATGGTAATGCTATTGTTGCGATTTTTTTTATAAATTTACGATACAAATTGCAAAATGCTACAACTCTGCGAATTTCGTCAGCGTTTTTAGGTTGCGGATAATTTTTTACTACTGATGTTTTGTTAGGTTCTGGTAAAACTCCCTTTTCTGTTTAATAGAAATTTAAAAAATATATACTATAGTTTTGTTGAAACTTGAACGTTAGGTAGTCTGAAAGAGCTGGACAGTTTTCCATTTTTTACGATACCTCAGGGTTAAGATGAGGCCAGCATTTTCTAAATTCATCTTTTACTCCCAAGTCAACATGGAACTAAAACGATCGATCTCTTGTTTTGATAAATTGAAATTGTAACTGTGTATAATTAGAATAGAATTTAGTTATATCTATGCCCAGGAAACAAAGGTTAACAAAAGATATTTTTATAATTACTTTTATTAAGACTATTGATGAAGACGTTGGGAAAATTTCCCGAAATATCCATATTTAAGAAAACTTAACAACAAAGAATAATAACTAAAACAAAACAACAATAACAACTTAATCACGGAAAACGGTAAAACAACAAGAAAAGCAGTAGCATTTTCAATGAATTACAATCCCAGATTACATACCTATTTTGACAATTATGAATGCATCATAATTTGACAAAATTAAAAAGCTGTACTGCCGAAACGTTTGAAATTTAAATTGTGTAGAGTTATTACTATAACTCTACTACATGTTACTAATTAGGAATCGTGCTGAAACTATACAACCCTGCTTCTTTGGGTTCGTTAAAATGAACACTTTAATTTAGTCAAATACTCATAACTGCTTTTAATAGATAGCTTAAATGACAGCGGGTAAATAAGTGGATATGCAGCAAATTAGCCGTCAGTCTTAAAAGAAACATGATTATTGATATTTTGACACAAAGTATACCATTAAAAAAACCTTATTTAACTTGTGTCTAATGCTAAAATGAATGGAGTGTAGGTGACCTAAATATACTACTTCTCTTTTAAGAAATTCACGTGTTTGGGGGGTTTAATTTCAAATTTGTTTTTCTGGGTCCTTCGAAATCTTCTATTAAAATTTTTATTATAAATTTTTTAATTTCGACCAAAGCAAACAATATCATCACAGTAAATCAAACATTTTTCCGGAGTGAGACCCGATAGAGCAATTGACTTATCTTTAAACCTTGGGGTAATCATGTCATTCTATATTGTTTTGAGTTTGCGGAGAACGAAGTTATGTCTCAACTGTCTTCATTTAGCCGTAATTGGTAAAAGCTATTTGACAAATCAATTTTTACGAAATATACTGCGCCTGCTAATGAATCTATGCTGTCTGTTATATTAGAAATAGGATAAGATAAATATTGTATTGAATCGTCTACAGTTCTAAGGTCTATTACCAATCGGTAGGTTTTTGATAGGTTTTTTTATGACTAAAAGTATAGGTGAATTCCATGCACTCGAAGATTCCTCAATAATTCCTTGATCTAACATTTCATTTATTTGTTCATTTACTTCTTTACGTAATGCAAAAGGTAATCGGTTGGGTATATAATATAATATTGCATATGTTTAATAGTTGTAAAAGTTTTCTTGATCGTGGACCATTATTTTTTGTTTCGCCAAAATGGCACATTACATAGTCATCTTATGGTTCTAAATGCAAGTCCAATGTCTTCTATCGACAGTGGTTGATCAGTTGTCTTTAATATTACTAAATCAATTTTTCTTTTTTTAGTCTGACTATTTTTTTTTTTTTAAGTTAAATTGATATTAGTTTTGGAGACATGAATAGTTTGCTTTAGATCCCCCGTATGAGGGGGGATCGTACCAACTCCTATTGATAGGAGAGGCGCTGGAAGTGGGTGAGTATGAGTGGAGGGGATTGGGCTTGGCCCAGGAGCTTCATATCCTTAGGATCATCTAACGTGCTCTAGATGTACTAGCTAGATGATCTCGTATATTAAGTTCAACAATTTTTCACTAGATTTCACTGGTTGCACTCGTAACTGGAGTAACCAAACAAATAGTTTTTCTTTGCTTGCATTTTCGAAAGAAGTTAAAAATAAATAGAAGTAAAGGATATTGCTCAATAACCAATTTGTTTATAGTGATAGAATGGTCAACGCAAATACATACGTACGGAACCATCTCGTTTAAGACTGGCACTATTGGTGATGCGAATTCGGAATGTTCCACTGGACGAAGTACCTAACTCCACAAGTCTACCAATTTCACTGTCAACTTTATCTCTCAAAGCAAAAGCCAGCGACCGTGCTGTACAGAAAACCGGTGTTGACCCGACTTTAAAAAATAATTTTAATTCATATTTATTAAATTTCCCTAATTTCTCTGAAAATAACTTTGGGTAGTGTAATTGTAACGGCTTTATTTTGTTTTTATTTTGGTCAATGAAATTCACTGATTTTAACTGTAATTGAAACTTGGCAATAAAATCGCGGCCTAATAGTGACAGCCCACCGTTGCATATCACAAACACGTTAAAGATGTGCGAGCGCCCGCACCACTGCAAGATCATTTGAACACTCCCGATGCACCCGTATAACTCATAAGTTTTTTATTAGTCGTCACTAATGGTAAATTATTGAAATGTAGCTTTAATGTATTTTCAGACATCACCGTGACCCCCGACCCGCTATCAATTTTTTTTTTACCATTAATACACTGTCACAACTAGAGGCTCTCCTGCCATTGACCGAATATTAAATAACTCACTTAAACCGAGTTGTTTAGGCGTAAAGTGTGCGTCGAGGAGCGCGACGATGTCATCAAATGGTACATTATGGATTTCTTTTGGCAGCGCGAGATCAGCTGTGAACTTGTAGGTGTCCTCGTTAAGTGCGCTGAAAAGAACCGCTCGTCTTTTAATTCCTGTTGGATCGATAATCTTATCGATGTCATTTGTGATAAACCATTGTAGTAATCGACCTTTGTAAGTTTTCCATGTGTGTATGTTGTGGTCAAGGTTCGATAAAACTCCAAAAAAGGTAGACGCCATTTTGTTTCGATAACATGCTGTTTACTCGTCGCCACTGTTTTATATGCGGATCAAGGATACGAGTGAAACGCTAGACGGCTGTCAACGCACTGTCGTTTATTCACTGTAATGACGCAGACGCAGCCGCTTAGGTATCTATATCTACTTATTTCCCTAATATTCAATTCCCTTTTCTCTGTTAAGTCTGTTTTTTTTTCAACATTCCAGTCTTTTTTTATCTACTTGACTTCGGATTCTGAACTTTCACTATATTCAACTAATCTGGCCACATTGTTGAGCGATGATAAAGTGAAAGCCTCCTTTACACCAGAGGAAGGGTAAATGTTGATGTTCAGCGTGAATAAACTCCAGGGGGAATGTTTATTTTGTTATTCAGCAAGGATGATGTGGTTTTATGGCAATGTCGGTTCCTTAGGTACATATTGATCAATAAACTTAATTTGAACATTGTTTATGACTTTAATATCGTCATCAAATAATAAGAAATTGCGAACTTGAAACTCATCATCGGTGATTACTCACAATCCGATGCAGTAGGCTGTGTATAGATCGGTATTGCTTCTAATAATGTTAGGTTATTTGAAGGAATGTGAGTATCAAAGGCATTAAGGGCAACATCAGAATTTGTAGCAATGGAAGTATCTTCTTAGAACTTTGGGAATTGGTTAGCTTAGAACAATGCATTCATTATCAGGGTTAGTAATGTCGTTATTGGCAATAATTCATTGTTTGCTTGCACAGAAAGCAAAATTCTTTTAGGCTATTTATCTATTGTAATTTATGATATTGTAGTTTATGATTGCAATGTTTGTATTTGTAATAATATGTTGGATCTGATTTTATAATTACGAAGATAAAAACAAGTTGTAAACTCTGATAACACTACTAATACCTCAGTACAAATTGGCTATTTCATACTTTAACCCCTATTAATTACCTTCACAATTTTACAGACGGAGGAGAAGTGGCCGGTTCGGAGGACACCGTTAAAGATCCTCGTAATTGCTGCGACGCTTTTATTTGGCAGATTTCGAGGGGGTCTGAGTTTGGGATGTTGTCTAGGCCCGACGTCTTGTGTGGTTTCGACCGTTGTTTCTTATCTAACTTGTCTGGGTGATATTACGTAATTCTGTTGTGTCGGAGTCAAACAGCTAATCACGTGCGACTCTACAGTCGCAACATGCTCACTGTGTGACGTCGGGTTGGGATTGAATTGTTCGTCCAAGTGGTCAGCCAGAAGCTCCGCCCTGTCCGAAGCGTAAAACTTAGGTTGTCCATTAGTATCTAGTAGTGGGGGAGGGTAGGGTCTATCTTTAGAGAGTTACTTACACAGGCGGTGCACTGAATGTTTGTCGTCGCCTACTGTAAGTAGTTGTCCCACGATTTTGTGACGTGCACTGGATGAAGTGCTACCTTGACCTTCTCTATCAGGTGGTTCAGCCGCCTCTTCCTTATGGGGCTCCTTGTTTGCTGCCATAACTTCCTGATTTTGCGCTTCTCAATTTATTGGTATATTCGGTGTGGCAGTGCGTCGGTCTCTGCCGCGGCGGTGGGTATTTGTCTGGCGAGAGGTGTCCATCGCAGTCAGTGTGGCTCCCGTTAACTCCTTTGTTGCTAGGTCCACTTCCTCCAGGGTAATATTAGATCGAATGGGTGTGCGTTTTTCCATTGCTTCTCGGAACCACTCCCGGTTGAGTCGGGGGGGCGGGTGTGGGTATTGAGATAGAGGGCGTGAGATAGTACATATTATCAGTTAGTAGTCATATTTATCGACATCAGATCCCTACTGACCTCCTGTGAAATGTTATGATTGTCATTATTGAAAATATCATATCTAGGATCTCTCCATTGCCAGCAGCATCCTACTGAGTATTCGTTCGGGGCGATCACATGGTAGTCGTGGTCGATCATGTCCTGGTGTAGTACACGACCGGCTACGTTGTTGTGAATGGAGTTCCATGAGGTATTTTTGGCGTTCATATTACCGGCAATGAGGGCTGGTACTGTTTGTAGGAGGCTCCTAACTTCACTTAGGTCCAAGTTGTGTCCCGGTGGTTTGTATGCCGCATACAATCTCAGTGTACTACCGCTCAAGCTTACGTCGATGCCGAGCGCATTCTATGCTCTATGACTGGATTCGAGTTTGGGGCCTTTTGGTGGAAAATTCTGTGGACAGCACAAGCAAGCCTCGGATGGATATTTCGTCGATAAGAGAGATCTCATCCTGCCTTAGCGAGCGCACCGAGATCGCTCACCCGGCTTAGTTGGCACCGTCGGGTATCCACCGACTCAAGGAATTGAAAATGAGTCGAGTCGTAATGAGTTATAAACAAAAAATCGGCAGGACCTTCACTCGAGGGTGCAGATAACACAAGACGTACTTACACAGGCCGAGAGGTTCAAAAAAGCGCACAAGGACGCGCAACGAGAGCAGAATGCATAATGTCATACAACAGGAATGTTGCGCTTTTAGTACTTTGTTATAAGACGGACTTTAGGCATCTTACCTCAGAGCAAACCGTCTAATGCACGCGATTTTTTGATTCTCCTCAGTGAGAGACCGACCAAGTACCGATACAAGAACTTCACCGTCGAGCGACACTCTGAACGAGTCGATTGGGAAGCGTCTCGACGCGAGTTCCTCTAGTTGCTCGTTTGTAGTTTCCGTATTGGTGACATACATAAAACATCGACGTGCCGAAACGATCTGGTTGGCACCGTCCCATGTATCACCCAGCCAAATTCGGTTCGTGAGAAAACTGGTTCCGTGGCTTTCCTCACCGTAGTTCGCGCGGGTCACGATGAGCTCCTAGTTGTCAGTGCCAATTTATACTTATACGAAGCTTTCTTGTAAACGACTTCTCGCTCGTCGAGACCTATATCAGTACTGAACAAACATGGCCATAGTATGCCTGTAATGCTGTTTCTTTGCTTGAAATTCTAGTTAATTTTCATAATGTTTCTTTTATTATACAATTTACATATTTAGAGTTGTTCCCACGTGGGAATCACATGGGTACTCATTTATTTATCATCTAATACTATGCCTAGTAAGGTAACATCATTCGTTTCTTGCAAGTTTTAGTTTTCATTCATTATTGATCTCAAGTTCTTATTTTATCTTCGACGGGAATAGGATAATAAGTATTAAAAGATTATACTTTAATTATAACAATAATTATTTAAAAAATCTCAAGAACTTTGTGATAATTGTGTTTTATCATAATAAAACGCAACTGACGGTTTACATAATATTGTCTATGTCAATGGTGTATTTTAAATTATTGCTAAATCTTAAATTTCTTCAATCATTGACTGTTATGAGAAACCTAGAAGATTATATATTTTTAAATTCAAATTTCTTTTCCGGAACAATGATCACCGGGCCCTAGTATATAATAATGTCGAGGATTTCGCTATTGGCAGATGTATCGTGAGGTGAGGGTCCTGGCGACTCGATCACGCCTTCTCATGTCTAATTTCCAGACAGAGGGTACGTTGTAGGGTTTTGGTGGGTAGGCCTCTGGTGACGGAGGAGTGTCCCACCTCCACACCCCCCTATCGCTCGCCAACCGGCAGGGAGTGTGCTTAAAGTATTTCTCCTATTTGTTGGGGACTGGATCAACGATGGTCTGCGCTTCTTCAATTGCGACTCGATAGTACAGACTGCTGATTATCCCTCCTTCTATAGTTGCAATGTGGACTGCATAACGTTATTCGGGTTCGCAGAAATTAAAGATGGCTTCGCTATAAGATGATTTATTCTTCCGACTAGCTCTTGCAATACTGCTAGTTTTTCTTGCTCTAGCATGATATTTACATTTTTTTTTCGGCTCTCAACCTTAAGGGTTCGGAACCACCTTCCCAGCGAGGGAAGGAGGCGGTGAATCCTTCATAGGATACCTCACAGCAGGCTGTGTGGTTATATCTAACTCCTACTGACTAAACGCCTTGGACAATTAGTTGCGTGTCCTGAAGGGGCAACGAACCTTCGACCGAAGCGACACTATTCTATTTACCTACATGAATTGTGACATGAGATGTTAGCCGTTAACCTCGGGGGGCTCGGCTCATCGGATTTGCAATACAGCTGACACCAAAGAGTACATTTGTATAATTGGAAATAGAGATGTCAGTCAACATATCGGCAGTTTTTTTATTATATTTGATTTATGTTCAGCACAACTTATGAAACTATAATCTATCACTATAGCAAACACTGATTTCATGTATTGTTTGATATTATTATTTTTTTGGATCTTTTTGTAAGATTTTAGTGACCACATCTTGTATGTTTGAGAAACAATTTATTAGAGCTTGTGAGGGATATGTCAAACATCTTTTATTTTTAAAGTATTCCCGAATAACAAAGATGTTATTTTTATTTTTGTTGTATTATACATCTTTGCATTTATTGCAATTGCTTTTATTGATTTTTCTTAAGACATATCCCGTCACATACTCAAGTTGAGCCCTTACTTTAGGGTTTTTGCTTTTTTCTTCGATATCAATGAAGGTGTGGTCACTATCAATATCTTCAAAATCAATTACAGTAGCATTAATATTTTTAAAAAACAATATTTTTAAAGAGTTGAAGGCGACACATTTATCCACTTCACGATTAGATCCTGGTGAGTGGACTGCTCAAATTATTTATAAGCATTGAGGCGAATGCTGACTCAAACCCTGCACAAGTTGAATTATTATTTCGATACTCATGGCTTCTAATTGAACCAAAGAAGTTTTCAAGTGGATCTTGGTTTAAGTGTCGCATCCATATAGATGTCAAGTGGTACTTTTTTGCTAAAACATAAACAATATATTCAGCGTTTTCTATAGTTTGCAGCCAATTTTTAATACTGGGTACAGTAGTTGACTTACTTTGAGTGTTTACAAATTTTGCTGTTTTAAATATATCTTTAGACTCTGCCCTCTGCTTTTTATGGACTGACTGCGGGGTTACTGGTCCAAGCAGAGGTTTGCCACTTCTTTTCTTGAAG